AGTTTGATATTACTTTTTCTTCTTCTTAGAATGTAAGATAGCAACTTCATCCCTTGGAGGAGTCATGTAAATCTTGATTTGATCTCAAATTGAAGAAGCTGAGAATAATTTTTAAAAAAATATTTACTCCAGTTTTCAAGATTCTGGATATATTAGCCTTTTTACAATTCTTATGATGGAATAGAGGAACCCAGTATCTGTGGGGGTCCAGTTGCAAAACTTAATACTAATTTCCTACGCAGGCACCAACGAACACATGAATTTGCACTTGGCTGGCATTCAGTAGAGAAGTTTGTCTATAGTATACTTTATAAGTATATTGAAAACTGCACAGATTTTGCACATGAGTGCCTGAAGGCAGTGAATTTTCTAAAAACTACTTTCTGGAGAGTTGTCATCTATTCTTTAAAATACAATTTTTTTAAAAAATGTCTTTATTACATAATCATAATCTGTAAACTTATCTAATACTGATAAAGTAGGAAAGTGTTATCACCAATGCACTGCTGAAAAGCCATCCTTTTAACATGCATTTTCATGTTATTGTAATTTTTTTTTTTAACCAATGTGAGGCATCACTATATGCTGTCTTTTCAGAATAGTTGCTATTAGTATATCAGACACATACAAAGTTAGATGAATTTGACTGCCTTTTATTAGGGTGAAATTGAGCAGCCTGATTACAGTCTTCCTAATGCATTAGTAGTAACCAAGCCTCTTTTTCCTGTATATGTTGAGTATCTGGCAGTAGTCTTCATTTTCCTTCTTCCTTTAGGTTGTAGATATTTGGTGTGGCTGATACATTTAATTTGATAATTCTGCTCTAACACAATTCATTTAATATAAAATTTGCTTTAAAATATACACAGTAACAATGCATTCAATTCTGTGGAGTTCACCCCTCCCCCTTGTGACTGCATAGATAAATCAGAAAGAAGAATGAAAAAAACTTCTGCTTTTTAAAAATGAGAATTGTACAAAATAAATATTAGGAGAAATGCCCCCTCCAGGTACTACAGATGAGATGAAGGCTAAATAGGTTGATGGTTTTAAGCTCATGACGCATAAAGTGTGTAAATTTGTCCTGGTTCTTAGCAAGGTTGCTCCTTCAATTCTTTGTTTTTCTTTCAGCATGTATTTATGTTAATTATAGAAATATTTATATAACAAGCTTTCACTATCAGGGAATTCATACCTGCAATGAATGACTTTCATATCTGTGAACAACTTGTAAAAATTACACTGTATCATATGTATAAATATAAGAATAAATGCTTTAGGTGTTGTTGATATTTAATTAATGCTTGAATCTTGCTCACTTTTTGAAGAGACTGTTCTGTTGAAGACTTTAATTGCTAACTTGTTAAAAATGCCTTGGATATATAGCATCTCTGGTTCCCATTTTAAAAAAAGGTTTTAAATATTGCAGTCAGCCACATCATTCTACTATCCTTCTCAGGGTTGAGCTGAAACAATTCAACATTAATAAAATTAGTACCTCAGAAGTTACTTTTAAGTAGTTTTTGTGACTGTATCACATGATTATAAATATCTAAAAATAACTTCAATAATTTAATTAATTTAACAATATTTTTTACATTTTCCAACATTATTCCTGAACAATCTTATTTTTTTCTGCAATTTCTTCAATATGACTCAGGTATGGAAAGATTATTTTGTGGGATAATCTTTCAGCTCTAGAAATCAGGCAATGGCAAACCACTTCTAAAATGTTGCCAAGAAAACTGCAGGGATTTCTCCAGGTAGTCGCCAAGAGTCAACATTGACTTGAAGTGACCAAAAAAGAAAAGAAAAAAAGAAAGAAAGAAAGAAGAGAACATCTAAATCTCTGATAACTGAAACATGAGAAAAGTTTATATTTTAGTATTTCTGGAATACTTTTTAAAAATTGCTTTATCTTTTATGTTCTGGATTATTAATTCAGCAAGAGAATACCATATGCTTCTGTAGCCTTCTTTTGCTCCAGCTAAGCAGTGTATGCGTAAAGAAGCAACTGTTGTCAAGCTTTAGGTGCTCAGATCAGAAGAATGTGTGAAGGTTAATCTTGTAAATTGTATTAAGGTTACTTAGGAATAATTAGCTCTGATGAAGCTGTGTATATTTTCCACTCCTGGAATGTTTCATCAAGTATTGATGTCTTAGAAAAAGAGGAAAATTACTTGCTTTCCTTAGTATCACATTTCTAAAGTTAAGCAGAAATAGAATTGCTACACAACTTAACAGGATAAATATTAGCATACAATAAACTATTGTACAAATTCCCCACAAGATATGCTTTTTACAATCACAAATTGTTCGTACTTTCGGCATTGGCATAATTTTTGAAGTTGATATGGATACTTGAAAAAAGTTGGGCTGCCTAAGGGAATAGTTGAGAGGTGCTAAAAGCATTTCTTCCAAATAATTTTCAAGGATGCAGAGTCTTTCTGCTTTTACTGCTCTACCATATTTTTTCACTATTTCGTGTAATAAGAAATTTAAATTGTACATGACCTCAAGTCCTTTGTCAGAAAAGAGTAGTGGTAATCAAATAGTCTTACAATTTTTTGTAATAGCATCCACACTATATTCACATTCGGAAAATCTTTTCTATAACCTCTTTTATTTGACAGGACAATTATTACAAGCTGCATAATAGAATATGATTATGTCAAAAGACTCTGATAAATTGGAATTTCCATCTTCTACAATAGTTTTATGATTTCTAGAAATGTTAATGATTTTTTCTCTTCCTTTCAAATAAGTAATTTTAATACTAGGACACCTTACTGAAAAATATTTAAATCAAATGGAAGAAAGCAAAGAAAGCAAAATAATAATTGAGAAGACGCTCTCTCCTCCTTAGCTGGTCTAAACTCCCTTCCCCAAAAGCCATTGCAGTGGTGCTCAGAAATGGCCACCTCAAAGGAGAACCCAACTGGATAAGATTGTGCAGGAGGAAGACAAAGGGGAAAGCAGGACAGACCAGGCTAAACAACAGAGAACATCTAAGCAAGGTACCCTGAATCTAAAAGTACCTAGAGGGATACTTCTGAAGGAAGATCTTTAAGCGGCGAAGGAGAGAGAAAAGGAGGTGTAAAACCCCTTTTTTATCTTTATATTGACAATTACAAATGGTATGGAAAGAAATTTATATTAATCTATTTTGACACTAATAAGCAACCTTAAGCTGAAATCTAAGTGTCAAAAGGAGAATAAAGATTTTTTCTTGGTCATTTTAAAGCTCTAAAAAGGAAAAGAGTGGAGGCAAAAGGGTGGGACTTGGAATAATGGAAAAATGGAGTCCACCTGGAAAAATAAAGAGGATTAACAGTGAAACTTTGAAAAGACTCCTGAGGATACATTGTAACTGAAATCTTATTAAAAAATACAGTAACCCACGGAAAAGAAAAGGAAAGAAACAAGAAGGAACAGTGTGGGATCATTTGGTGGTTTAAAAAAAAAAGTTTTTGGCATTGGTTTTTTCTTTCTTTCTTCTGTTTTTTCTTAAAGTCAGGTGGTTGTTCAAAAGTGTTTAAAATGCCATCACTCCTGGAGGAATTGAAGATGAGTCTTAAAAAACAGAAAGAAGATGCAGAAAGGGGAGGAAGATCCTTTGGCTTCATATTTGAATTTTTTGAAATGGAGATCCTGAACTATGAAAAGCAAAAGGAAAAGCTTCAAGAGCAAGAAGAAGGCGGGATAAAGAAGAAGCCATTTTCAATGATCAAATAATGCAAAGTGTGGTAATAAGGGGAAAAGGGGGGAAAGGAGTTAAAAGTTTGAGATCAAAGGGTATAGCCAAAAAGAAAAATAGTCTGAAAAAGAAATATAACAGCAAGGAGAAGCAGAAAAGAAAACTACAGAAGGGAAAATTAGAGAGAGAAGGGTATAAAAAATGGGATGAGAAAAAGGGGGGAAGATAGAAAGGGAAAGAACTTATGAAGGACAAAAACAGGAAATAAAGAAAAGGGGGAAACGTACTAGGATTAAAGGTATTTGCTCAGCTACACAGACAATGGTTAAGTTAAAAGTGAGGATTCTGCAAAAGTACAAAAGATAGTGTGACAGTAGAATACTGTAATGAGTTAGAAATGAAATAAGTAAATAATCTATGAGATAAAACTATTGTTATGTAATGGTATGTTTATTTATAATTAATGCAATAATAAAGAAGAGAGGGAAACATTGCAATTGTTTCTAAAGATTGATAAAATATTGAAAAGAAATGTGAAAGATTTATAAGGAACTTTATACCAGTTATTAGAATGAATTTGAATAATTATCTTTCTTATTAATAGTAAATAATTTATAAGATAAAACTGTATGACTATCCAATGGTATGCTTATTAACAGTTAAGTAATAATGAAGAAGGGAGGGAAACATTTCAATTGTTCTCAAAGATTGATAGATATTGAAAAGAAACGTGAAAGATTTACAAGGTTCATACCAGTACTAGAATGATTTTGAATAACTATTTTGTTTACTAATGTGTGTGTTTATATATATATATTGTTTTTGCTATGTTTTTAGAATTTTTCTTTTTACATTTTCAAGGGTAAGTACCAAGCAGAGTCTGAATGATGAGATCTACATGATATAAAATAGATATTAGAAATTTGAATGTTATAATTTTAGAATGCACAAATTCAGTGTTTAATGATTTTGCTTCTTAAGAATGTTGGAAGAGAACACAGGAAATTGTAAACAAGACAGATGAAAGTATAAGTACAATGAATAAAAAGATATAGAAATTTAGGTAAAAGAAATACATTTGAATAAGAAGAAAATGAGACAACCATAAAAGAAAATTAAGAGAAGTAAAGGGAGAAATAGTGAGAAGTTGGAAAAAGAGTAATAAGATATGAAGATACATAAGATGAATATACATATGAAATTGTGTCTGTATGGAAATGTGATAACCTGAAACGATGCTATACTCAAATAAGATGTTTTGTTTTGTTAAAACTCAATAAAACTTTATTTAAAAAAAATAATAATTGAGATGTCGCTACTTCAAGGGAAAGAGCAAGAATAAATTCTCATACAAAAAATATACATAATTGTGGTGTGGGACACAAATCTGATTCTGCTCTGGTTTACTGATTATAATGGATATCTTTTGTCAGTTTCGATGATTGGCAACTGGAAATAAACTTACATTTTCTGATAAAGGTATTGAGTAAAAAAATGAAACCAGATAAAACCCCCATCAATGAGAAATGATAGTTTGAGTTGAGTATGTTTAGACTTGAGGTAAATTTTAATGCAATACAATAAAATTCTGGAATATTTACAGAACATTTGTATAACATACAAAGAATTAGCACAGTGAAATAGCCCCAATGAGATTTCTGAAACCTTCCTAATTAAACTTTTTAGCAATTGCTTTATATGAATATTTGACTCATTGATCTAATTAGATCCATGATAAACCAGGTTTATACAAAAACTAAGGCTTCTGTTAGCATATTATGTTTGTAGTGAGTCTTGCAAATGTAGGAAATAGATTCCCATTTCCCTACTTTTCATCTCTGGTTTAAAAAACTACCGTCATGAAACAATCACATAACTCAGCAAAGATTCAGAGTACTGACTGTCCTAATACTTTAAAACATACCAGCATATATTGTAGGATTTGGATACTATTTGAGGAAACCCCAAAATGCCATTACAAAAAATACAAGCAAAATGACCACTTCAAAAGAAAGATAGCATATGCAGAATTGAATAAAGGTATAAAGTTTTTCCCACTTTTCATATTCAAGCAATTATCAAACAGTGATCGTTCTTCAGCTTCAACACTTGACATAACTGTTGTTATTAAAATCCTTGCCTGAACATCATCATTGCTGATTGGGACTAATGCAGTAGAAGTCCTTGTGGCATTTCTGCCTTTTCCATCTCTCCTCCCCTACTTCTTTTTATTGCTAAGTTCCCTTCCTTGATCATTTAAGCATTCAACCTTATTCCATTTCATATCACCTTCAGCATCACGTTTTTTTATTTCAAAAGTTTTGCTATTCTCTTCATGGCTGGAGCTTCATATTAAGAGAGAACTACCAGCCATTTGCTGATTTTCTATTTTCTGCACCGTTACAATGCCATCAGTCAGGCAAGGATCCTACTTTTTGCTGCTGCCTTTTCCAAATAAATGGAATCCAAGGCCCAAAACTGGGGAAATGGCCACCAGTGAAAACAGATCCACCAAGGTGGACTATTGATCTTAAATTTAATTTAACTTAGACCTCAGAAGAGGCTTTGTCAACAAGCACCTCCTGTCTGTAACTGCCTTTGCTGTCACTTGTCTCTGAACAACTTTATTCTGCTTTTTATTGATCATAGTAACATTAATTCTTCCTTCATTACTCTTATCAAAGGCTACAAGACTCGGGTTGGCTCAATTCTACAACTAGACTGCTGATTAATAGGCAGACTTCTCTGCTTTCTCTTGGGAAAGGCTCACCTGGCAAAGATGTATTTATGTAGTGTCTCTGTGAGTGCTTCATATAAGACAAAGATATTTATTTGATTCCGCCTTGCTTCACTCCAGCTTATAAATGTTAAAAGATACCTGCAGAATAATACAATACTAGACAATCTTAGTGAATACATTTTGTATTAAAATGCATTGAAACCGTCATCTTCTGTATGTTACCATAACAGGCAACTCCAGGCCTTTCTTTGTAGCATCTAATTCACTAAATTAATGTGCAAATCTTTTTAGTTGCTTCTCAGTGCCAGGAAAAAATCCTTAACCCCTTTTACTGAATATGGTAACTGTTTATTTTGATGCGGGTTACAAAAAGTGCTTCATGGTTCTTTCTTAAAAGACAGCTTATTTTTTTGCATTTGATTTACAGATGAATAAGTATTAGCAACTTAGGTTAAAATTTATACTGGTTTACAAAGCTATGTACTGTAATCTTGCTTCTATAAAATTATCCATTTCCATTCAGTGCATTAAAATTCAGTGCAACTAACTTAGTTATTGCTATATAGTCAATAAATATGACTGAATACAGTTCTTCAATTGCAATTTTAGATGTCTGTTTTTGTCCAAAAAGAAAGTTAAAATGCATTTTTCTCCATACCTTTCTAATTTTTTCAGTCAGTATTTTTTGTTGTTGTTGACTTACCATAAGTACGCATAATCCAGCATACACACTTTTCCAAATATTTGTAAACTTAAAATATAAAAATAATTACATTTTCTCCTTGGTTTCCAGTTCCAGTGATCCACAACCAAATGCACAGTGCCAGAATACCAAAATAGAAGTCAATGTTTGAATTTTAATATGAAAGACTCAAATGCCTTAAATACTTACTTTAAGATAATAGTTAATCATTTCCAATAAAAGTACTCATCTTAATATATACATATAATATTGGTTATATCAAGATGCTTTGTAATGTTCTTGCTGTAAGTGCAAATGTTAAGTGTTATTAATAAATATGTAGCTGTGATGGCTCATTTCTCAAAAGTTAGAATTCACAATTTTCAGTCTTTAGGTACAGTCATGTTAACTGGGAAACTCAGCTGACGGTTGCAACAGCTTGGGTTTTTGCACCTTCATCTTCTGCACCTTCAGCATTCACTTGGTTTCCCTTACCAATGTTTTTCAAATTTTCCAGAGTGGATTTGAAAGTATCTTTCAGACTCTTCTCCAGGACCCATCCTTCACTTTCACATTCAGGATCTTCTGGATTGGTGATGCTTTCCAGAGAGGTATGCAACAGGCGCAACCCTATCATTATTAACATCTAAGTGAGATAGAAAATGAACTGTCAGTCAACTTGACTAAAGGTTGGCTCATTTCACAGTCTATATATATATATTGAAAAGAATCTTAATTATAAATAATCAAAAGTCCCAAAGCGAGAATATTCTTTACCAACTCTACAGAAAAATTGGATCTATTAGTTTAAGTTTCAGATTACCCATTTATAACTTGAACAGTACATGCAGGTAGTGCTTGCTTAATGATGGTAACTGGGATCGGCATTTCTGTCACTACGTGATGCTGTTGTAAAGTGTGATGTCACATGATTGTGCAGATTTACAACTGCAGCTCTGGCACTTCCAGTGGCATCCATTAAGAAAATCCCAAGCAGCTGTTAAATACAATGTGACCTGGTCACGTAATGCAGGCTTTGCTTTTCGGAAGCCAACAATAAAGGTTGAAAATAGTGATCTTGTGACCATGTGACTATGCAGACATGGCAACATCTGGAATTTCAAGGATTGGTATTAAGTTCCACAATGATAATCAAGCGAGGACTACCTGTACTTATCCTTGTGTTCTATACCACCACAATCATACTGGTTGAAACTTATCTTCTTCCAACTCAGGCTCCTACCATAGATTTTAATGATTATGTCTTAAGCTAACCATAGGAAATAAACTAAAGACCACTGCCTTATCGTATTTCTACTGACTGTGACCAGGCTAAAAGGATGCCATATCAAAACCTGAAAGATGTATAACCATTTAGCGCTGTAACAGAGTTTACAAATGTTCAGAACAGGGATTAACTGGCAACTTGTAAACTCCCTAAGTATACTAATTTCCATTGCTTCCAGGATAAAACAGATACATTTTATATCAAATTACTACTATCATACACAAATCAAGATATAACAAGGAGTGATGCTATCTATTATCAGGCCTTAGTGAAAATACAACAGCTGGCTTCTCCAACTAATTTGAAATTTCATTTTGTAATTGTATTCTAAATTCTCTGATGAAACGCTTTCTTGTAAACTGAAAGTTATTACATCTACATGTTTGTTTGTGCATAACTTCTGCTCTTTGATTTTCATAAATATTTGATATGAAGCTCATAGGGAATCAGCTACTTTGAAGGCAGCCAAGATTAAAACTACTTAAGTATGTAAAAGCAAGAATTAGTACAGCTAGTCCTCAACTTACCACCACAATTGAGCCCAAAATTTATGTTGCTAAGTGAGAAATGTGTTAAGTGAGTTTTGCCTCATTTTACGACTTTTCCTACCACATTTATTAAGTGAATCACTGCAGTTTTTAAATTAGTAATACGAATCTTGTTTCCCCAATGACCTTGCTTGTCAGAAGCATCTGAATGTAAATCATGTGACCATGGGGATCCAGCAATGGTCATAAGTGTGAAAAATGGTCATAAGTCACTTTTTCACTGCTGTTGTAACTTTGAATAGTCACTAAGTGAACTATTGTAACTCGAGGACTACCTGTGCTTGAAATTGAGGCAGGAAAAATAGGCTTGCAACCCATAATAAGGAAGCATATAGTAACTACTTAGGTTTCCCAAGAAAAACTCTTGGCATAATCTGGATGGTCAGACATTATTTCATTTTCATGTAGACATATGCTTCAAATAAACATATATTTTAGGAGTTTGCAGGGATTGCAACATTATCTTTCATTTTTAATATTCCTAGGTTTTCCTAATACAGAGTTATGGTAGCTATACAATGCTTCTATAGGTGATTTATGGAACGTAGGGAAGAAAGCTGTAGCTGCAACTATCTTTCTGGCTGTGAGAATGCCTAGCTTTGGATTCAATTTTCTTAGATCACACTGCAAACTTTCTAAAGGTCAGCTATAAATGATAACATTCTAGAACAATGCATTTACAGATAAAATGTAAAAAATGTATTATGGTCTTGTTTTTTCCCTTTATTTTAATAAAACTGAATTCTTTTGAACTCAGTAAACAAACAGAGAGAATAAATAAAAATCAATCATAACAATTAAATAGAAATCATTAAATAAAAAGAAAAACATGAATATAGAAACATGGGAAACCTGTTGCCAAGGCAGACATGTAGTCTTAAGGAGAAATACAAAGATTGTATATTAATTTTTTATATTTTACAAATCCTGAAGACAGTTCGATTGGTGGACAATTTATCAGATGTTCTGATCCTAAATTCAGCTTGCCATTGGCATTTTGAAAAAGTCAAATTCTGATGATTTTTTTAAAAAAAATCTATTTGTAATCTACTTTGGCAAATCTTTTAATGGCATCTGCAGACAGCAAGTTAAGTAGAGGTTAGTAAGTTTAGCATAGTATCTTACGGTTAATACCCTTCTAACTGAATGAGCAATATCGTTTTTAAAGATAAATTCAGAATCCTGCTGTTTACAAATGTGTTCAACCTATTAGTCAATAAAGGGACAATTTTAAATAAGTTGTTAACAGTAAAAAAATAAAGCCAATGACATGTTAGGGATCTGTATTTGTTTTTTTAGAGATCAATCAGAAAAACATATTTTCAAGAGTCACAATTTGTAGTACTTGTGAATATACCTTGGCATATACATGGTTTTAAGTCTATTTAAAATATTTTGTAGCATTCCAAGTCCCAAACCATTCATATCAATTAAAATGAACATTTATATTCACTCATTAATGCAATGAACTTATTGAGTAATAATATCAGAATAATTGCAATTATACCATATATAAATACAAGAAAAAAACTTTATTGACTTTAAAGCCTCTTATATCTCAGTTTTCTCATTCAGGGATATGACATATCATACTGTGGAAGACATCTGAGAGACACTCTTTCTCTAATTGCTTTTGCCTGATCATCAATTTTGAGAAGGTTGCTGGTGCTTTGGGTCGTCTCTATTAAGCAGCACCATCTTATAGTACCCAGAAGATTATGTCTTCTTTATTATGGAGTAGCATCTCCTCCACAAAGGTCTGAAGGCTTTCAAGAAAATTTGAAGACCTGGCTTTTTCCACAGGGTATCTACTATGGAAGATGAGTTTAACAGTTCCTTCTCTCTCCCAATATGCCCTCCTGTTATTTGTGGTTTTGAAGTATTGTTTTCTCTGTTTTTAACTTTACACTGGCCAGAGCCATTGGCTGAATGAGCACCTGAAGAAACTTAAATAATAAATGAATACCAATTTTCCAAATATTCAGAAATGCATACTTTTGTTTAATGTCCACATAAGTGACATGAGGACCAGTCAAAAATGGAGGGTTGAGAAAAAAATGGGAACTGGGGCTATGTCATCAAGTTGGCAAATGGCCCCCCACAAGAAGGTGTGGATCTATGTTTATTCCAAAATATCCCAACATACATCAGGTGTTTTTTTTTCATAAGAAAAAAATCCACTTCAACAAGAACCTTTTATCCTATAGGACCAATGCAAGGTAGGTGAATTTTGACTGAGGAAAGAAAGAAAGGCAATGCAAGGAGAGGGAATGGCCTGCATAAATCTAAAACACTTTTACTATTGTAGAAAAGTGGGATGAGGATCAATAAAGTATTTTCAGCCCAATTAAAATATATTCACCACACTAAAGGAAATTCCTCCCGATTCCTGTTACATAGCAAAACATAATCAAATTTAACACGACAACTGTCAAATCTGATGTCCCTATAATCCTATAGGATAGCCCAGATGGAGGAAGGGGATAATACCTGTTTGTTTTTCTTCTGAAAACTATCTTTCCCTCAAAAAAAAAAATCTAAACAAGTCTAATGCCTGTATAACCCTGCAAAATTTTCTACAAAATGGCAGTTATTCTACACAATAAAATCTAAACAAGACTGGTACCTGTATAACCCTGCAATATTTTATACAAAAAATGATAATTGCTGTTGGTGCAATTCTTTGTGGAGAAGTGTCATGATTCTGAACAACTGAGAGAGAAATTAGCTTGCCAATTGTATTACCTCAAAAAGCCAGACAAAGAGGACAATCAGTCCCATGGAGGTCATTATGCCACTGTAGTAATTAACGAGAGCCTCTCTGCAGCCACGAGTCCATAGATTGAGCTCTTCTGTTTGATAGTCGTAACTGTAGTGAGCTGAATTATTAGAAACTTGGTACTGGATGCATGGCCGTGGAGAACTTGGATTGCAGCAGCTGAAGGGAACGCTGTCCACCAAGTATTTGCCATCCACGTTACTTTTAATGCGACTGTAAATGAATAAGAGCAAATCTGTACTTAGGAACAGCCACTAAGAAAGATGGAGCAACATTACCTCCACTGATTTCATCTGCAGCATGTGAATTAGTTTGCGTTTTTTCCTCAGAACATCTGGATATGATCTTTCTCATTTAAAACACCTGGTATTTTGTTTCTTGAACTAGATTGAGAACAGCCTTCTGGTTTGGGATGTATGTTACTGGCAAGCCTCAAATGAAAAAATGGGGAACTGTTTGGCATATTTATATGCTAATGAGGAATTAATTTGTGTTAAAAGGGGATGCAATATTAAGATGTTGGACTAGGACCAAGAAAGCCAGGGTCAAGTTCTCATGGGATTACCTTGAGCAAATTGCTTTCTCTTACTTTAACTTGCCTCACAGGGTTAGCATTGTGGTAGAAAATGAAAGGGAGGAGACTTAGGTACACTGCCTTGAGCTCCTGCATGAAAGATAGAATGTAAATTTTACACAAAAATATATTTTCTTTTTAAAAATGTAGGGTTTTTTTAATAGTTAAAAGAAAATTCTCAATTTACTGTGGAAAAATGTTGATTGCATATTAATATAAGAAGAAAGGTAAGATTGCCTGTCCCATCATTTTAATCCCCCAATGTTGAATATTTTGCTTCAAAATAAAATTTTATTCATATTTAAATACTATTGACTAGTAATAACCAATTCAAACTTGAAGACTTGGAGCTAAAGAACTGTCAGCAGATGTCTACTCCTCCACCACCTGCAAACTTTTCCTGAGAATCAGAAAATTGTCTGGGCAAAGAATAAAACCACTAAAAATGGGAATGAACTTTGATTAATGGTATACTGCAGTTCTGTACCGTTGTACTGACAGTAATGGGAGTACACTGTTGAATAATAAATACTGAAATGTATTGTAGATTATAAAAGTAGTGGAGTTAAGGAAAGATTTCAATAATCATCAAAGAATGATAGATAGCAGCCCTCAACTTACCATCTTTCATTTGGTGACCATTTGAAGTTACAGTGGCATTGAATAAAGTGACGTATGACTTATTTTTCACACTTAAGATCATTGCAGTATCCCCCTGGTCACATGATCAAATTTCAGACACTTGGCAACTGACTCATATTTATGATGATTGCCGTGTCGGGTCATATGATCCCTTTTTGCGACCTTTTGACAAGCAATAGCAATGGGGAAGCCAGATTCACTTTACAGCTGTGTTATTTAATAAAACACTGCCAGAGAAAAACACAAGGCAATAAAGTTATTTGATAATTTGTTCATTGTAAACAAGGATGGAATGTCATTGTTGATTTACAATAAAAAAAATAATTATTATTTTTATATATCATGTAGGATCAAAAAATATCACAATCAGATAATTTTTATGATGTTACTTTTTTATTGGTCTGATAAAATCACTAGAGTTTTGTTCAGAATTGGAAGTGTGGCTATTTCAGGTATGCCCATTATTGAAAGAACTTTAACAATTGCACCATATGATAAATTATATTAATAGGCTTAGATGTTTTATCCAGTTTAAAATACCATTAAACACTAGGAAATATTTTGTGCGCATAAGAAATTATTGGAGTAAATGCAAACAGCTCATCAGTTAAATTCTGAATCAAGTCAATTTCTTTGATAATCTCTCAGCCTGCTGGTGGAAGGAAAATCAAATGAAACTACAATGGCTCAATTAGATGAAAAGTACAAATGCTGGAAAGAGCCACAGAGAAATTTCTGTTTTACTGACAAAGGAGAATGTTTGTATCTCAGTACTTCTAGCACTGTTGATGTTATCTAGTTTGGATAATGAAATGTCTGCAAGGAGCTAAAAGAGCACCAAGGACGTTTCAAGTTTCTGTCTAGAATTTCTAAAACAAAATGAAGATCTCTTAAATGTCTTTGGAGTATCTTAACATTCAGGAAGATGTTGTAGAAGAAAATTGGATAAAAAAAAGGAATAGAGAATTAATGAATCAGGTTTGAATAAAAGTTTGTTTGATCATACAGACCGAATGAATGATGATCAAATTTAACTATATCAAACAAAATAACTATACAGAGAGTAAATGGGTAGTTAGAAGGACCAACAAAGCCTTATGGTTGGATGGTTGGAACGTATGAGATACTCAGAAAGAGAACTGTCAAGAACAAAAGGCAAATGTATTAATAATGAATGGACATGATGGAAACAAGAGTGGACCTTCTACTGAATAGTGTTAGCATAAACTAGTTTTAAGTTTGTTTTTATTTTTTCATGCTTCTTTTGCTTATTACCACTTACACTTTTTTTGCATAATTTTACAAACCCCAAAACTGAATAGTATTGATGGATAGCACTTACTGTTATATGTGTAATTGGACTAATTTTAGTTCATTGGCTGCTTTGAAAAATGGAACACAAATTACAATCTGAAAGAGATGATCTCACCCTCCTTCACTTTTAGGCATAATGCCTGAGTTACATTAGAGAAATGGAATTGTACTTGGGCATGACATAATCATTTCCTGTTTCATGAATGATATGTGAAATATCAAACAAATGGAGTACTAATGAGATGAAAAGTACAAATGCTGGAAAGAGCCACAGAGAAATTTCTGTTTTACTGACAAAGGAGAATGTTTGTATCTCAGTACTTCTAGCACTGTTGATGTTATCTAGTTTGGATAATGAAATGTCTGCAAGGAGCTAAGAGAGCACCAAGGACGTTTCAAGTTTCTGTCTTGATTATTTCAAGACATTATTGCATTTACAAGGGACAACCTCTTGAATTATGTTGTTTGAATCATGGCCAGAAGCAATCCTTTTTACATCTTTAAAGGCATCTCTCTAAACTGGCTCTTCACCTTGGCCATCACAGATGGAGAATGAGGTCCCTTAGTTCAATGTGCTGGGCATTTTTTTTCTTTTTCTTTTTTATGTTTTATTGATTTTACAGTAATTTCTTTGATTGTTGTGAGACGCTCACGGTTGTAGAAAGTTGATGGCATGCAAGTTTAATAAATTACTGTTATGATTGGTTGCAAAGTCAGCCAGCTGTTTAGACTGGATTTGGCAGTGTTGTCCACCTACTGAGTGCTTCCAGAGGTATTAAAGGTATTGTTGGAGGATGTTAGCTGTTCCAAATAAAGCTTTTTTCAATTGACTGGTTGTGATTTTGTCAATACCAAATGCTGTTCAAGTAGTGGTCCAGATGTTTTGGGGTTGCACCCAAGACACCTATTACTATTAGTACTGTCCTTGCTTTCCCATGTCATAGTCATTCTACTTTTATTTGCAAGACTTTGTATTTTGTGGATTTTTCTTCAGTTCTTTCTCTTCTCTTCTGCTGTCTCTAAATATTGCAATGTCCACTGTCCCTACTTTTTTGTCTTTCTTATCAACAATTGTTAAGTCTGGGGTGTTATGTGGCAGGTGCTTGTCCATTGAATTGTAAATTATTATTATCACCTGAGGAATCTGAAAGTGATTAAAAGACCTTTTTTCCTGAAGATAATCCCGACTATTTATAATCTCCAAAGTATTATACACTAATTAGATATCCTTATCTCCACTCAGTCTCCTGCTGATTGCAGTATGAACAGGATAATGTCCCTGGGACATTCAAATACATTCTGTACTTTGATAATGCAAGCATTGTATGTATCTATATCCAAACTAAAATGTGCAATCACATTGTGTTCCTTGGTATTTAATGTAAGTAGTGCAACTATTTTTATACCTAAAATTCTATCACTATTTTTAAAAATAGTACAGTATCACACAAATATCTGTCAATGTAATCTTGTTTTATTTCTCACGTACTGTCCTCCTGTGGATGGATTAAACTCAAGCTCCAAATCTTCAGATAATGCCAGCATAGTGGACATCTCATTATACTTTTCCATCTAGTTATTTATATCAAGACATAATTTGAATGGTTCCCATTCATATATTTGTTCAGCATAACAAAAAATTTGTATTTATTTAATTGGACTACTTTGAAATTACAATATTTGAGTGAAAAATCACTACAAGCAAAATCAAAAGTTTTTGTTTTTGCATGCATCTTGAATAGTTCATATTTGTTCCTAAAGAAGAAATTATGAAAAGGTACTCAAATGTACAACATACAATGACATACAATGTATGGAAACTAATCAAGGAGAGATCCAACCTAGAAATAAGGAGAAAATTCCTGACAGGTAGAACAATTAACAATTAGCTTGCCTCCAGAAGTTGTGGATCCTCCAACATTGGAAGTTTTAAAGAAGAGATTGGACAACCATTCGACTGAAATGGTGTTGGATTTCTTGCCTGAACGGGGTTGGACTAGAAGACCTCCAGAGTCCCTTCCAACTCTGTTATTCTGCTGTTCTGTTAAATGTATTTAAGTATATTTCTGTGAGAGTTTATTTATTACAATTCAGAACTTCAGCACTGGATCTCTATAACCCATCCATATACACATATTTAAGTGCTGTTGGAACTAATAGGATTTGCATTAATCACTATGAACTTCCCCAAGCTGCCTACAATGCAACTAACAGCGAAATTCTGTGTATTTCTTATATATCTGTTTAATAATAAATCCCACTGAATTCAGTGCAAACAAAACCACTGATGCAGTTCACTGTTAATATACTTTAGAAATGTGAGAGTTTCTTATTCATGACAATCAAAATCATTAAAAATCTTAACCATTTGAAGGCTAGCAATTTCTTCTTAGCATAGTTAATTATTAGGGGAAACTGAATCTTTTCCTAGGATGAGGACATAATGATAGAATATTTTCAAAAAAATGTTATAGCAGAAGTCACCTGGTCGGATGAAAGCATATCCAGCCATACTTTCAAGATGGAGAAATGATTAGAATCCCTGAAAACAGTGTGAATTCAATTTTATGCATTCAAGGGCAAAAGAAGTATGTATTGAGCATGTGTACACTTGTAGAACTGTATAAATCCATTTATCCACCTAGAGGAGAAAGCCAAGAATAGCTACAGAGTGATTTAACAGAGGTCAAGATAAATGTCAACATACAAAGAAGTTTCCCTGCATAATCCATATCAAATAAATGTGAGTGGTATGTGTTTTTTTTCTGAATTCAGATGTATTATTCAATTACTATTTTTAGGTAAAAAGGAGGCACGATGAACAATATAGTAAAACGATGAACCATAAACTAGAAAGGAGTAATGAAATACTCCTAAAATAATTCATTGTTAAAGTTATAATGGTATAGTACAAGACAATATACTGGGAAAAGAAAATTAATCAATGAAGTTATATATCTGAAAGTCTGAAATGCTGATCTTAGTTGGCCATTCATAATAGTACTTCTAAAAAAATCTGAATGACATATAAACACAAGATTTAAAGGCAAAAACCATATGACAAAATTAATTTTCTTTCAACTACTTACTCTTTCACTTCCTTGGAGCCAAAATCTAAGTATCGGTTGCTGATCCACTGAATCTCAAACCAGTCTCTGTAACCATTATTTCCACAACATTTGAACTCAATCTGAAGCATATCAATTGTCTTCTTCATGAAGCATCTTCCTGGAGTATCTGTGTCACGGTAGAACTTCATACTATTTTTTAACCCATCTGCCAGTGTACTGTCAAGAGAACCCCTCATCAGAAAGCAAATAAGAGCAATTAAAAAAATGAAGACATTAAAAACTACACATGTGATTAAATAGAGTTTCAAGAAAAATTTCCATTTTTCAAATTTAGCAGGATCCAGGGAATCGTAGCATATCTTGCCAGCAAGAGCATTGGATGCACAGGCAAGTAGACCTACCAGTATTAAAGAGTTAGGCACAAAGTGGCTTTCAGAATTGTCCATTATTTCACTTCGCTTCCTGAGTTCAATTTTCAGGAAAAGTCCCATAGAAAAAACAACAATTCCAGCAAAAACTGAAAACCAATTCATGAGCCATAATCCTTGTGCTAGTTTTACTCTTTTCTTCTGGTTAAACTTGATTTTCATCACTGCCATCTTTTTCACAACGCTGGTGGTACCAAGCTTCTCCTCAAACCACCCTTTCTTTGAAAAGGATTAAGGGTAGAATTGGAAAGATATGCCACCACTCAGGTCTTGAAGATTCAAAGGGGCAACCCTCTAGCCAGTACACTATTTAGTTCTTCCATCTTCCTCAGGCCAAAATTGAAGAAGTGCCAATACATTTTTCAAATCAGTAATATTTGTTTTTTGTTTCCAAATAATCACATTAATAAAAGATTATTGGCAAATAATATATGCAACTATTTGTGGTTGTCCCTTCTATACAAAGGAGAAACTGTTTCAATTTCAAATAATTAAAGCTGGATCTATACTACGTCATTCCAATACTAATTAGTGTAATCCAATTTAAGAAATCTCTGTCCACAGATAAGCCAAGAAAATAATCCTTTCATTTTACTATTCTGTGGGTTTGTGCTTTCACATGATATAACTGAAAACAAAGATATAAAAAGTTTCCCCGTACCTAGACTTCATTCTCCTCTGGAAATTAGTTTTGAAACCTACACCAGATGCTTTTCATACACTGACCTACAAATGAGCCAGTCTATGATACTACTTATCCCTATGTCACTCACCTTGAATGACATGCTCTGGGACTTAGGCATTTTGGGAATGGAATTAGGTCATGTTTTCAATGATTTTCAGTCTAAGCATTTTAAAGATAAAAACAAGAATTACCAGCTTAATTGCGACAACTTTCTTAAATCATCACAGAAGCTATGTCGAACTGTCAAGACATTTGAGCCCAAAATAGAGCAGTTTACAGATTAATCATAAACAGGCAACAGTGGTCTTGCTGAGAAAAGAACTTCACATACAGTGGAAAAGGAGAGTCTAAACTTCATCATTGCTATTACGTTAGAAAGAGTCTTTTATTATGCTAGAAAATGTTAGTAGGGCATTCTAATGGAACTTACAGTACTGTATGGTAAGAGGTGAGGTACTGTGGTAATGGAACGGCAATGGGGAGACCCAAGTTCAAGTCCACCATTAGTCATTGGACTTCAGTGGTTTTGGAGCAATCACTTTCTCAGTCCAACCTCACCAGGTTGTTGGAGGAAAAGCGGGGTAAGAGTGCTGCTATTTTGATCTGATGGTGGAATGGTAGAATAGAATTCTAATAATAGATGTTGTAAATGTGTGGACCTGTATGCACTATGTTTAGCTCTTATTGAATATTAGTAGTAGGTACATGCTTGGTTCATTTTTAAATGTGAGCTGTGCAGATTGAAAAAAATCTACTGTGTCTTCCATGAACTTGTTCACCTTAATGAATGTACCTTTTCTTTATGTATACTGAGAGTATTTACACCAAGACAAATTCCTTGTGTGTCCAATCACACTTGGCCAATAAAGTACTCTATTCTACTCCGTTCCGTTCCATTCCATTCCATTCCATTCTATTGTTCTTATTTTTGCAATATTTTGCAATAATGAACTAGTTACCACCAAGATACTTAAAATCTTTGCAATATATCCAAGTATACTTAACATTCAAAAATTAAAGAGAAGATGAAAGTCTCACTTTAAATAATACCTAATCTTTGTGAAATGAATTGCTGAAAAATGAATCTTGCATTATTTGATCTGCATCTCCACAGAAAGATGATAAAAATATACACATAGAATAGGTACACGTCACCAAAAGGTAACACATAATATTGATGGGTTAGGCACTTTATACAACCAAATACTGTACTGTTGTGTGTAAAAGAATTAAAGAAAACAAGATGTGACAAAGATTTTTCTCAGGTAATATTGCAATTGCAGCAATTTCATCTTCAAAATGCCAAGAAACTGGAGCAGAAGCCTGATTATGTTACAGAGCAACCCATATTGATAGATTTCCATGATAAGATGTCATGGTGGGTGTTGAAAAATCATAGTGAGTAGATCTAGGTTTGTTTGTTTTTTCTTCTGTTCAATTGTATCCAATTTCTGGATACTGCCTAGACAATTCCCTGTAGTTTTCTTAGCAAAGTTCTTCAGAAGTGTTTTGCCACTATCTCTAAGGCCGAAAATGACTGGCCTGGGCTTATCTAGATGGTTTCATCCTAAAATGGTGCAGAACTCAGAGTCCCCCAGTTTCTAGCCTGATGCCTTAATCACTATGCCAAATTGGCTCTAACACCTAAGTAGATGCCATCTTCTAACTTGAAATACACCCATCTTCTAACTTGAAAAGTATCAGTCCCTCTATATTCCTTCAAGCTCTATCCAGCTTTGCTCCTAATGTGTACATTTGGTATCCTTCACTGTTACCGCATCACATACTACTGCAAGTAGTCCTTGCCTTAGGACTGTAATTGAGCCTGTAATTATGGCAATAAATTGTGGCAATCATTAAGCAGGTCATCATGTGTAGCACCTGTTTTTACTTTTGTGGCAGTTGTTAAGCGAACACCATGGTCGTTAAGCCAACCCCTCCCCCCCCCCCCCCATGGCTGTTTTTGCTGGAAATAGGAAGTAAATACTGGAAATCAGCAAAAACCACTGAAAATTGCAGTGATCATGGGTTGCTGGAAATAGTCCTAAATGTGAGCTGGTGATCAAGCACCCAATATACAATCAAGTGAGTGGAAGAATGCAGTCATCAGATCTTTAAAATCAGGTTGCAAGTAGTACTGGGGAGATATATCGTAACTCTAAATGGGTTGCTAGATGACAGGTCATTGAGGACTACCTGTATTATGAGTTACATTTCGCAAAATATAACTTTTCTTTTAAAAGGTAAAATAGCAGCCAGGCTTTGTTCATCAAAACAATCAACTTGTTGTGGTTCACTGGCAGCAGGTGCGGATGGCTGAGGTCTCGGAGAGCGAGGACTCAGATGAGGGGCCTGTGTGTGATGCAGGGATGGCGCCTGGACCTTCAGCGAGTGGAATGCTTCCTTTGGAGATTATGGAGGCTGGCAGCAGTGATGAAGAGGTTCCCGAGGAGCCTGTGTCCAGTGCGCGTGCGCGCAGGGCTGCTCGAAGGAAAGAGCAGCTGCAGCAGCATGGGCGACTTGGGAGTAAGGCTGCAAGGCAATGGCCTCTCCCTCAAGAGATAAAAGCCAGCTGAGAAACCAGAGTTCTTTACAGGAAGCAAAGAAGTTTTTGCACTCAAGCCTTGTGGACGTTCGGAATATCTTAGTTGGTGTTTAAAGACTCTTTGTGATTGAAATCTTTCTTAGTAACTTTATTTAATGTTCTTGGCAGCTTTGCACCACCTTCTCAAGGCTCGTTCTTAGAGATAATTAATTTGAAACAGCCTTTTAACTGTGAAGGAACGGAATTCATAAAAAAATCATTAAAAGGTTTTTCTGTTACTTCTGTTTAGTGTTTGTTTCCTTGGAACAAGGTTTGGGTCAGAAAACAACTCAACCTCTAAGGACATATCTACAATACTAGGTTCCTATCTCCCCAGAGAAGTTTGTAGCTTTCCTTTAATAAAATCATAATGGGGTTATTTAAAAAAAAACACTGAAAATTTATTGTTTTTGGAACACAAGTAATAGGAAGCTTAATTGAAGTCCTCAGCTTACAACTGGCCATTTAACAACTGTTCAGTTACAACAGCCACGTAAAATACTTCTGGAACATTACTCCGCCCTCCCCACAGCTCACATGACTGCATTTCAGGAGTCTGGCAACCTGTTCACATTTATGAGTTGCCAAGTACCCTGTGACCATGCAATTGCCATTTAAGATTTCTGGGAACAAAGGAGACAATGGATTTGAGACTTCTGTGCAGGGAGGGGAATCTGCAAGTCTGACATTAACACAGCTGATATTCTAAAAGGCTCTGAGCTGATGCCAGCTTGATTAGCATTTTCTCCTCTGGAGAGAAGGATATTAGTGAAAGAAGTAGATTCTGGAGGAGAAAATGCTAAAGGTTCCAAGTCTCAGAATTCTGAAATACTGAGGTTCAGAGCCTTTCAGAATGCTGTATTTGCATTTTCTTTTCCAAAGCAGAAAATGCTACTGAATGCCACCATTCTGATGATGGTTTGGAGAAGCCTTGTGAACCATCACAAGAATGGAAGCCATGTGCAGGATGGAGTGAAGTGATACAAAGGTAAGTGGACCAGTGTGGTAGGGCAGGGATCGGGCTGTGTGCTGGTGGCCTAGCTGGCCAATGCTCCCAACCCTAGGCAGGTTTCCATATGCTGGTAGACACTGGGCCTCCCAGTGCTTCCCCTACCCTGAGCACCCCCACACAATTGTTTAATGAGTGCAATAGGGAGAGTTTAACGAGTGCAATGGGACCGCCTTGGTCACTGAGCAAGGTGGTCACAGGGGCACTTTGCTTAATGACAGCAATCACTTAGGACCAAAATTCTGGGCACAACTGTGATTCTAAGTTTAGGACTACCTCTACAACTTCAAGACATTATCAGTTACCCTCTTTACTAGACACAAAAATGCAAACAACTAATATTCTATAGTACAGCAACTGAATTTTAATCTGTTAAGGAACATATTCAACACTTGTTTCCAAACGGTCAAACCATAAGACTTTTGTGGCTATTTTCATGAGTACTGAGAGAGAGAAAAATAATATCTGAAGCAGCCCCACAAAGCTTGCCAACAACACAGTTGATTTGATATCTCAAAGCCGAGCATTTATATGAACTCCTGTGCAATGTTCAGCTCTTTTTGCAGAAGCTTTGAACAGTTCTATCTTTAGAATACTTTGCAGGTTCTATATATTTTGATTTACTTTAGTATAAATATTTTAAAAAAAGATTATGAATGCAGTAACAAAATTGTTAATAAAAAACAGTCCAAATAACTGAGAAATTTTCAAACAAGGAATTGTAAAAAATAAAGTGGAAATAAAATAAAATCTTAAAATGTTCGGATTGTGAAATATTTCTAAAATATAAAGTTCTATAGAATCTTATATCACCATATTATTGTGAAAATAAATATTTTGTGCAAAATGTAGCAGAAAGTTATAATGCAAACTTGACTTTATCCTTTTGTAGT